CATCTTCCTTCCGAGGAGTGGCTGGTGGGTTTGAACCGCCAGCCTTCTGGTTAGCAGTCAAGTGCCTTAGGCACTATGCTACCAGAGCTCCCCCTTTTTGCCTAGACATACCTAATCATTCAGCCTGTCTACCAAGGTATCTGCCTAGATTAATGTTTGTTTAAATTAATGAAACTTTTAAGTATAATAATTTATATATGTGTGTAGCATTCATCAGTTAATCTGTAACTGAGAATGCAGGTTAGAATTAATTGGCTGAAAAATTAATAAACTCATGTGATGAGAATTTTAATTGCTAACCAAGATTGTATTACTTGCATTGGCATTTAGGCCATTTTCCTTTTGGAAGGCCCACATGGGAAGCCAAATTAGAAGGTTATTTGTATGAGGGATTAACAAAGAGAAAGTGCATGTTCTTAGAAGTGATTGGTACTGCCAAGCCATGATGATTTAACTCCCTGTCTTCTTCACTTTGGGGATAAACCTACCAAGAGATTAGGATATTCATATTTGCCTAGCCTCTAATTTTTTCCTTGGCTATGCCAGAGACAGGTCTGACAAAGTTTACTCTTTGATTTCAGTTTTTTCTTGACACATACAGACCATTGCCCTTCAGTTAGCTCAGTCTTTTCTTCAGGTTTCATAACATTAAATTACAGCTTTCTTTTTTTAGTCCTGAGTATACCCTGATTGGAGCTCTGGTGGCATAGTCCCTAGGCATTTGACTGCCAACCAGAAGGCTAGTGGTTCAAACACACCAGTCACTCCTTGGAAGGAAGATTGGGCAATTTACTTCTGTAATGACACTGCCGGAAACGCAAGGAGGGGTCGCTGAGTCAGATCTGACTCAATGGCAGTGAGTTTGGTTTTTTTGGTTGTACCCTGATTAGATTGATTAGATTGAGAGAGACTTTGGTCTCTTGACTGGACTGACCTCAAGACTTCTTAGAAATCCAAGTAGTCTATTAGAGTAGATACTTTTGGAGAAGAAATCTCAACTACTACTATATATTACTTTTAGAAAAGGACATTTTTTACTTTATTCCTAAATTCTATTTGTATCTTCTTTATCTACTGATATGCTTGATTGCCTCAGTTCTATAATACGACCATTTAAGAAAAAAAGACAAAAACAAGATTAGCCAGTCTATTCATACAAGTACCATATCAACCTTTTCAATTTTGTGTTTAAGTTGGGAGCAAAGAATGGACCAGCATGGGCGAGTCTACTATGTAGATCATGTTGAAAAAAGAACAACGTGGGATAGACCAGAACCTCTACCTCCTGGGTAAGTATTTGAATTAAAGAAAAAAGTAAATGTTTATTCAGAACTATGCATTATAACTTGATAAAAAAATGCCTGCATTCCTACTTTTCTGTTTCTGTCACGTCAGTCTTTATCCACTTTGGTTTGTAGTAGGTATAGACTAGAAAGGAGAGAGCCTTGTGTGATTCATCTCTGTTTCACAACTATTTGTTGAATTAGATTATTTTTGTTCTGATTTAGTTGGGAACGGCGGGTTGACAACATGGGGCGTATTTATTATGTTGACCATTTCACAAGAACAACAACATGGCAGAGGCCAACGTTGGAATCTGTCCGTAACTATGAACAATGGCAACTACAACGAAGTCAGCTTCAAGGAGCAATGCAGCAGTTTAACCAGAGATTCATTTATGGGGTGAGCAGCCTATTGCATTATAAAGTTAATAATTGATTGTTCAATTTTTAACTCTTTTTTCTGCATGTGTCATGTTATACACTAAAAAGGAAGGTACAAGTAGGATGGCAAATTAGTTGTTGCTGTGGAAGATTTTGTTTTTAGACCTTGTCTGGAGTGTTCTCGCTGTGTGACCTATTTTGTCCTCTCTACCATATCATGAAGTACAACCTCTCCTGCTTTGTTAATGTTAAAATAAACAAAAAAGAAAATAGGACAAACTGAAATAAACCCAAGCAGTTTGAAAAGCATTCAAACAATTCTCAATTTAGTACTGCCTTAATTAGCAGAATATTTGAAGCTTGGGGCTGAGAGCACCTGACTCTCAAGGGTTTGTATGGAACTGGTGATAGAGTTGAATCACTTTTTAACATTCATTTATTAAGTAGATAATATTATGCTAAATATATTAATCTGACTTCAAGACTGTATTATATTTGGCATAAAAATATTTCCTTTTTTGAAACAAGTGGTTTAAATGATAAGTACACCAAAATATATTAATTAATGCTTTGTAGTGCAATTTTTGGTGCTAGGAATTTTATCTCACGTTGTAAAGTATCAGAGATCTTTTCTTTGAGGAAAGGAAAATAGTCCTTTGAGAAATTTGATTCTCTGTGCCAAACAGAATATGTAGACCTGGTAGCAGAGTGCCTGCGGCACTTGACTGCTAACCAGAAGGCTGGCGGTTCAAACCCACCAGCCACTCCTCGGAAGGAAAGTTGGGCAATCTACTTCTGTAGTGATACTGCCTTGGAAACCCAAGGAGGGGTCACTAAGAGTTGGATCTGACTCGACGGTGCATAACAACAACAGCACAACAGAGAAAGGGCAACTCTCTTAAGAGTTCAAGAGAAGCCAACCCTCTCCATTGCCACCCGTTCCTCTCCACTTGTGTCATCTCTGTTAGAATCCACCAGAGTAAAATAGCACCTTTCATCTTCCTGTCCTCACTACGTATTACCTTGATCCCTTTTCTCCTTTCTCCTGCGTCTGTTTCTTGGACTTTAGCACTATAACCGTTATTCCTCAGTGATGGACACAGACTCACCTTCTTCATCAGCACTCTTCCCTTCACTGCCTGGTTATGAATGAGATACCATTCTTTTACAAAACAGACTGTTTTCTGCCACCTTTTCTAGATAACCAGTACTACATCCTCCTTCCCAGTGTTTTGAAAGATGAAATTAATTTTTGTCTCTTGTCTACCTTACCTTTTTTTTTTTTTCCTCCTATGCTGTTTATATTTTCCTTTCTTTCTAAATTATAATCACCTTTGGTATGCCTGGCCAAATTTCTTTTAGGTTTGAATGCCTAGCTTGCCTGCCTTCTTTAAGCTAGTTTCCACATGGGTGTCCAGTGGAAAGAGCATGGGCTTTGGAGTCAGACACATCTGGGTTCGAATCCTGGTTCCACCAGTTACTTTCTCTATATGATTTTGAGTAAGTTACTCATCAAGACTCATTTACTTTATCTATAAAATAAATATACATAATTGCCTCAGAAGGTTTTATGTAGAAGCTTCTGTAAAATAAAGTTTCTAATATATTTAGCATATACTAGGTGAAATAATAGTTCTAATCTCTTCCCTCCTTTTCTTCCACAATTGTAAATGTGCCCTTTATCTTATTTTTGCATTGATCAGTCGTTCAAAGCATCTTTTTAAAAACAGAATTAAACAAATTTCTGGAATACTGCGTATATTGCTTCATTATAGACTTGACCAACTTGATGCTTCAGAGTCTTTGGAACTTTCTTGAATTACAGCTTTTACCTTTTTTCTTCTTCCCCTTACTATCCAAAATAATCTGATCAATTGTCTGAAATTCTTACTCTTCACTCTTGTGATAGAATGGTTCTAAATTACATAGAACTAAAAAATGGCCTATTTTAGTTCCCCCAAAATAGGTAAAAGTATGAATTGAATGGATTGAACATTAATACCAACTACTTGGAAAGGGGAAGGAGATTCCTGAGAAATGATCTCTTTTTTGGGTATATGAAGTAGCTCTTGTCCCCTACTGTTGTCCCAACTCTGACTACAGAGAAGTAGACTCAGACAACGTTCCACTGCTATCGTTGATGCCTTTGAAGTAGGGTGTTGGTGAAGAATGCTGAATATACCATGGTCTGCCAGAAGAATGAACAAATCTGTCTTAGAAGAAGTACGTCTAGATTGCTCCTTAGAAATGAGGATGGCAAGACTTTATCTCATGTACTTTAGACATTTTATCAAGAGGGACCAGTCCCCTGAGAAGGATGGTATGCTCTATAAAGTAGAGCGTCAGGTAAAAAGGAGAAGACCCTCAGTGAGATGGATTGACACAGTGTCGTTGACGGTGGGTTCAAACATAGCAATGACTGTGAGCATGGCACAGCACTGGGCAGTGTTTTGTTCTTTGTATGCAGGGTTGCTATGAGTTGGAACCGACTCAACAGCACCTAACAACTACAAAAATAGACCCAGCATTTTTACCTCAGAATAAATAGAGTTGATGATGGAACACTGTGCATTGGCTCTGCCTGGCCCATGGTTTTACTGTGCATATCTCCAATTTATCTATCCAACGAAAGCCAACTGAGTAGGCGTGGACCTTGGAGAATTATCAAAACAGGATGGCTGTCATGCACCAGACTTGTAAGACCTGATTTATAATAACTAGGGCTCAAACCTTTTATGATATTTCTGCCTGCGCTCCGTACTCTCACTCCTTTTCATAATTTTATCAGGAAGAGCAAGACCAATTCTTGACAGTCTGTCTCCCAAAAGCTATTAAATCAGAAATGGAATACCTCCCATTTCCTTTAAAACCACAGCCAATTAACCAAATTTCTATAGTAAGTCAGGTGTATGGAAGAAAGAACAACAAAAAAGAGGTAGTAGGGGGCACTACTTTTGATTGGGACTTTAAAAAACCAACCAAATGTAATGTGAGGACTTTGTTTGGATCTTGATTTAAACAAATTCTGTGAGAAACATAGTTATTGCCTGGTTATTAAATTAATACAATTCTGTGCTAAGTGTGATGATACTATGATTATGTAAGAAAATGGACATAAATTTTAGAGGCATACCGAAATATATAGGATAGGGATAAAATGATGAGTTATGCTTCAGCAAAGAATAGGGAAAAAAAGGATAGATGATAATTTCTTGTGATAATTTTGAATCTTGACAATGGCTATATAGAATTCATTGTCCTATTTGTATAAATTTTTCTATAAATTTAAAAAAGGAAAAAAACAGTTGGAATCTATTGTTCAGTTGCCATATCTTACTAAGGAAGAAATTGCTTAACTGGGTCTTACTGAAGAACCACAAAATTATTCCCACTTCATGCACATATAAAGAGCCCTTGTGGTGCAGTGGTTAAGAACTCAGATGCTAAACGAAAGGTCAGTGGTTCAAACCTGCCCAGCAGCTCCAAAAAACACAGGGATCACTTCATGCAGAAGATGACTGTAAGAATCCCCTGGGGCATTTCTACTCTTATAGGGTCACTGTGAGCTGGAATCAACTTGATAACATACAATAAAGTAAGAACACAGTAAGAACCAAAACACATTCATTAACTCTATTTAGTCAGAATGACTTTTACTTTTCTTTTTCAAGAGATTAACCCTTGCTTTCCTTTTTATCTTATCTGGCCAAACCTCTATCCTCCAGGACTGTTAATTGTAAACAGAACAGTTCTTTGTATGTCCCATGTTGTGATCCTCTCTTTTTGAGATTAGAAATGTAGGATTTTTCTTAGCTATGTGATGACTCTGGATTTTGGAATTAAAAATAACTTTTTAGGGGCTGTATATTTTTCTAATTTTTATATTACTGATATAATAAATTTTTTTAGGAAAAGAAAAGGATCATTTTTGGGGTGGGGACTTGGGAGGACTTTCACATTATAGAATTATGTGTTTGTGTAGTATGTGAATTTCAAATAATTTTTGTAAAGACTTTTTTCCCCAGAAAGTAAAGAAGGTATACTGACATTTACCCATAACCCTGTGAACTTCTCTAGGATGTGAACTCCATAAGATTATGCTGTGTTCTACAGCCAAGGAAAGTGTACCAGTACTTCTGAACTTGCTTTTAAATCACCTGTTTTAAGTTTTTAATTATTTTATCATTTTGTATCTCTTTTAGAATCAAGATTTGTTTGCTACATCACAAAGTAAGGAATTTGATCCCCTTGGTCCATTGCCATCTGGATGGGGTGAGTCACACGATTTTTTTCATTGAATTTGTCATTTTAAAAATCAGATCTTTATGTATGATACTCTATTTTTACGTAAGTGAATCATTCTCTTTTGTTTGAGTGAGTCACTCTGCTTTTGCTTGAGTAAATATCTAGGAAGTGTTTTGAATATAAATTGAGAGTGGCAAATGGGCATTAAATTCCCTCAAGCATTCTAAGTTAACTGTTTTGTTATATAGTAAACTTTCATTGGAATTCAGAATTATTTTACTCTTTTAGAGTTTAAAAATATTTTGTTCACTCAGCAGTAAAAAAGAATAAACTATTGATACACAACAACATGGATTAATCTCGGGATATTATGCTTAGTGAAAGAAGTTATCTGAAAGGATTACATATTGTATGGTTCCATTTATATAACATTCTTAAAATGACAAAACTGTAGAGATGGAAAACAAAATGGTAGTTGTTGGGACACCCTGGGAGGTCAGGGCCTGGGTAGGTACAAAGGCAGCATAAGGGAGTTGTTTGGTTGTGATGGAGCACTTCTGTATCTTGATTGTAGTGGTGGATACATGAATCTATACTGGGATAAAATTGAGTAGAACTATACACACACACACTAATGAATGCAGTTTAAAAAAGTGAAAATTGAATTAGGTGTGTAGTCTAGTTAACAATAATATGCCAATGTCAGTTTCTTGATTTTGATATTGTTGTTGTTGTTGTTGTTGTTATTTGCCATCGAGTCGGCCCCGACTCATAGCGACCCCTCCTTGGGTTTCCGAGGCAGTATCACTA